TGGCAATGTGCCTTTTAATTTCCTGGCTGCTGGTGCCAAGACTGTTGACTGTGGAGCCAAGCAAACTAAAGCTGTGTACAATCTCAATCTCTTCATTATCCATCCTGAAGTATTTGGGAATTGGTAAAGATAAAGCCACAAAAAGAATCACGATAACTTCATTAGAACAATGTCTCATTCACTGTTGAAGTTTCAACTTTTCGAGGCTGACACATAGTAGGTTCTCAACTGATTTAATTGAATTAATGAAAGAATAACTTCCTTGCTGAATTTACCATGTTATTGCTGTTATGTGCTGTCAAGTCGCCTGCGACTCATAGCAACCCTATGTACAATAGCCCTAAACCCTGCTCTGTCCTATGCTGATCTTTTTGCCTCTGACACACCTAACCCCATTACCCCAGTCACTGAATCAGTCCATCTCATTGAGAGTCTTCCTCTCCTGCATTGTTCCTCCACCCTCCCAAGCATGAGGTCCCTCTCCAAGGACTGATCCCTCCTTTAACATGCCCAAAGTAGGTCAGATACTTTTTAAAATTTTTTTTTAATTTCAGTGAACATCTACAGAGATTTTGGATTTCCATTCACTCATTGTTGCATTTTTCTCCCCGCCCACCCCACCCCCAGTCAGATACTTTTGTGTGTCTCCAGTTTCTTGAGTTTCCTTCTTGTGAACAGTCTCTGATTGTTTGTCTTTGATCTCTAGCTTGCAACTGTCACCCAGCGGGCTCGGAGTCTGTGGCATGTCGTAGTGATGGGAGCTGTGTCTGCAAGCCAGGATTTGGAGGCCTCAATTGTGACCATGGCGCATTAATCAAATGTCCAGATTGCTATAACCAAGTCAAGATTCAGGTGCATACACCAAGCTCAGCTTCTGCTTTACACTCCCTGTTACCACTTCCCCTGGGATATTTTTTAATCCTTAAGTATCTGCCAAATGATTGTGTCATGGATAGAGGTACCCACTAGTCTCCTGGGAGTGGGGTTATGGTAACAGTTAATTTATCTTTCTTTAGTTATTGTCTTAAACATGAACAAAACACAGCTGTATAATAGTTTTAATACTTAGTGTATGTGTTCTTATATGTACAGACCATTTTCAAAGCCTCTGGTTACCTAATGCTGCTGTGACATAAATATCGTAAGTGGGCTGCTTTAAAAAACTAACAACAAAAAACCCCCAACAAACCAACCCAAAACAAAACCAATAACAACCCAGACCTTTCTTTTTTCACAGTTCTGGGGTCTAAAATTCCAAATCAAGATCTCAGCTGTGTTAATTCCTAGCTTGTAAGGTAGTCTCTGGATTTCCTTTAGTCAGGAAGCTTGTGGCTTCTGTGGTTACTGAGTTTGTATGCCAGGATTCTATATCCAATCTTCTATTTCTTTTTTATAACTCCATATGATTAGATTTAGGACGTACCCTACACTGATATAGTCTCATTAACAAACAAGGAAAATCCTACTTTCCAACTAGGATTATGTCCACTTTGAGGACATCCAACTCAATGGATCTCACTTGGTATTCAGGAAGACTGTTAAGTTGGGAGAACAATTTTTCTGACCTCAGTTTTAGGTGAGCATATGTCTCATAACATTTGTCTCTTTCATGGCCATGTGGACCCTGACGCCCACCTGACAACACTCCCTAACCCTAGATTCAAGGCTCTTCTCATCATCACATATCACTTTCTAGCTGGATTTCCTCTCTGCCCCCTCCTCCCTCTCCAAGAGATACATGGGGAGCTCTGGTGGCAGAGTGATAAGGAACTGCACTGCCACCCTGAAGGCATGTGGTTCAACTCCATCAGCCATTTCATGAGAGGACAATAGACAATCTCCTTCAGTGCCATTTACAACTACTAAAATCTATAGTCAGCTATGAGTCGGTCTGACTCAATGGCAGATAACAATAATAAGAGACGACACTTACAAAAACATAAAATTGGAAAAAGATATGAGGTGTCTGGAAAATGTCAAGGTCATTCAAATAGGAATGGCTTTCAAATTTTAGAGAGCAATACACTTGGTATTTTAGTTGTTATTAATTATTATTTTGCTAAAGTGAAGGCTGGGGAAGGAAGAGTCCCCAATAGAACTTCAAAATGTATAACAAACTCAACTGTTGTTTTGTTTTTAATTTAGGCATTTGGGAAGAACAGTGTTCTAAGTGGTGTAGCACTTGTCTGTCAATTTGCTGTACTGAAATAACTTGGGGTTACTGTGATATGTACTGAATGCTGTGTGTCAAAAGCCATAAATGGTTACCCATGGTGGACAGGGTTTGGTAGGGCTCCCAGATTAAGACAAACTGGAAGCAGGATTGGCATGCACTGCTTAAACAATAGACCTTTGGAAACTCTATGAACATTAGAGAAATAATGATAGTTATAGAATAGGGTTCAGATCTTTTATTCATAGGGTTGCTATGAGTTGTACTCGACTCAGTGGCACTCACCTTTAACTTAACTGTTGTAAAGACTATGCAAATACAAACTCATTAGTCCTTGTAACAGCTTATCCCACCAGTGAGGTGGGACGGTTGTTGCTAGATGCCATTGAGTTGGTTCAACTCATTGTGACCTGTGTACAGTAGAACAGACTTTGCCCGATCTTGCACCATCTTCATGACCTCAGCTGTGCCGAAGACCACTGTTGTGGTCATTGTGTCAGTCCATCTCATTGAGGGCCTTCCTGTTTTTCACTGACTCTCCGCTTTTCTACTTGCGATATCCTGGAGGATTTGGTCCCTTTTGATAACATGCCCAAATATGTGAGAAGTCTCACCGTCCTCACTGCTAAAAATCACTCTGACCTTTTCCAAGATAGATTTGTTTGGAGTTTTTTGCCATACATGCCATATTCACTATTCTTCACCAGTACCACAATTCAAGGTCATATACCTACTGAAGAGTGGAGCCAAGATCCAGGATTCAAACTCAAGGAATCTAGGCTCTGGAGTCTAAATTATCACCCAGTATAACATGCCAGGGATTCTTGAGCTATCCCCCTATTATTGCACCTTGGTCTCTGCTACCTGTTCTAATCCCCTTACTTGTGTGATTTCAGATGGACCAGTTTAAGCAGCAGCTCCAGGGCCTGGAGGCCCTGGTTTCAAAGGCTCAGAATGGTGGAGCAATTCCCAATGCAGAGCTGGAAGGCAGGATGCAGCAAGCTGAGAAGGCCCTCCAGGACATCTTGAGAGAGGCTCAGATTTCAGAAGGTGATCAATAATTTTCCTTCTGACAGGACATTGGTGGTTATAGAGCAAACCACTTGGCCATGTCAGTTTTCTGTGGGTATCAGTTCAATGGTGTTTTTGCTCAGCCCTTGCAGAGGTAGACAGATGCCTGTGACAATCTCCTGAGACCTGAATGATGCAGATAAATGAGCAATTTTTATGTGCAAATGCATTCGTGCTTTTGATTTTTACCTTAAGCCAAAGTCCCATTTCAGCCCTCCATCCTGTTTGGTAACCCTATGCTGACCTGGAAAGTGTTCACACTCCCTTTCTTTCTTTGTGCTCAGGTGTAATTAGATCCTTAAATCTCCAGTTGGCCAAAATGAGGAACCAAGAGAACAGCTACCAGAACCGCCTGAATGACCTCAAGATGGCAGCGGAGAGGATCCAGGCCCTGGGCGGTCAGCATCAGAACCGCGTCCAGGAGACGCACAGGCTCATCACTCAGTTGCGCCTGAGCCTGGAGGAAAGTGAGGCTTCCCTGCAGAACGCTGTAGGTGTCTCTGGGCTAGGGTTTGAAGACACTGTGGGGCCAGGAGACACACTGCAGGTGTTTCAGGCTTGTTCCCGCCTTGCAGGCTTTCTGGTGTGTCCGCAGATAGGCAAGCTCCTCTTCCTTGAAAGAAACATTATTGCTTTATTTTCTTTGGCCTCTTGCAACTTTGCAGCCTCCTATCATTTCTTCCTATCCATATTCTCATCTTCATATTTCTTTTTAAATTCTCCACTAGTTTAAAGTAAGCTTGAGTTATGTGCATATGTGCATTCCCAATGCACAGGATAGAGTATGGCTAATGTAAAAGTTTGCTACATGAATGGATGAATGAATGAGGAATAAGGACGGGATAACTGGAGAAAAGAAAGAAGGGAGGGTGAGCAAAATGATGACACGGTCTAAACATGTTGGCAGTGTGATTTCGTTTTTAATTATTTTTTTTGTTTGTACCATCAAATCAGATCTTACTGGTACAGGAGGAGATTGTTCTTCCTTCTCCACCAGAGCGTCTCATGGATTTGAACCGCTCACCTCTGGGATTACAGGCACCTTCTTGCCTCTAGGCCACCAGAGCTCACCCAGTGTGATTTTCTTAATGACATTGTTTGAGAGTGCAATAAGATTGGATTACCCAAAAGTCAAAGCCATTGCTTCCAGTGGATTCCAACTTCTAGTGAGCCTAAAGGCAGAATCGAAAGTCCGCAGAGTTACAGAAGCCAACTGCTCCATTTTCTTTTCAAGGAGAGGTTGGTGAATTTGAACTGCCTACCTTTTGATTAGCAGCCAAGTTCTTAATCCATACACTACCAGAGGCACCTTAGATTTGATTGAGTACTCTGAATTTCTGAATAAAGAGTGCAATAGTGACAATCAAATCAATATATGGATAGGAGATGAATAAAGGAAATGGAAATATAATCAGACACTAAGCTGAGAAAATGGAGTCATTAAGAAAATCATATGTAGGGAGCTCTGGTGGCCGAGTGGCAAGAAGCTGCACTGCAATCCCAAAAGCACATGGTTTGAAACCACCAGATGCTCCACTGTAGAAGGAGGGGCAATCTCTTCCTGTGCCAGTCAAATCGGATTCTATGGTACACAACAAGAAAAAAAATATGTATTGATATTTCCACTTCCTAAGAAGAATATGTTTATCATGGAAAATTCAGCCAATAGATTAAATTCTTATGTGATCTCAACACACAAAAAATAGCCATTATTAAAACTTGCTGTATATTTTACTGGATACATAAAAAATTTAGGACATTCATTTATTTTTAAATGTATCCAAATCCATTTATAGGGAGTTCTGGTGGCCTCATGGTACGGAGTTACACTGCCAACCCCAAGGCAGGTGGTTCAAATTCACCAGCTGCTCCAAAGAGAAAAATGAGCAGTCTCCTATTCGATGTACAGTCTCTCTAAACCCACTGGAGGCTCAGCTATGAGTTGGTTCCAAGTCAGTGACAATGACAATAGAAAGAGAGAGACCATACAATAAAGAAGCCCTGGTGGTATAGTGTGTTATATGTTGGACTGTTGATCGAAAGTTTGGCAGTTCAAATCCACCAGTAACTCTGGGAGAGAAAGCTGAGACAGTTTCCTCTTAAAAATGACAAGCTTAGAAACCCGATGGTGGGTCACTTTGAGTTGGAATCAACTTGACAGCAGTGAGTTTGGTTTTGAGTATCATCTACAGCTTTCTTAGGTCTTGAGTTTCTAGGCTATCCATGCATATACACATTTTTTTTTTCAGAAACACAGATTGTGTTGAGTTGAGGCCTCTGGTGACATTGCCAGTGTGCAGCGTCCCATGTGGCTGAAATGAGTCGTTCTGTCTGGACAGATGTTGAACATGCTGAGCTTCTGTGGTCGAGTGCAAACCTCTAACCATTTCTTTTTTTTCCCCCATAGAACATTCCTCCCTCTGAGCATTACATGGGGCCAAACAGCTTTAAAAGCCTGGCTCAGGAAGCTGGGAAATTGGCAGACAGGTGAGCAGTGTCAGAGGTACCCCTGCTTCATTGAGGTGGCAGTGCAAGGCCAGACTTGAACAAGACTGTAGGGCACTCAGGGCCAAGCACCAGACAGACTCGCACAGACTCCTGTGCAGCCCTCTCCTTGCCTTGAAGCCATTTTTAAATGCACTTGGCTTTGAGTGGAGATGGGTGGTCACTGGGTAGTGTCCTTTGGCAGGCACTGAAAATGGGAGCACTGTGTTCTCAGAATTCTCTATGACTCACAACATGGCTTCAATCTTTCTCAAATGTGATTTCTCTGGCCAACTGAAATGAATCAGGCCTTGGACGTGAATGCTCTGCAGCTTTCAGGGACTCTCAGGCTCCCACTCCGAGCCTGGGAACAAGTAGCAACTAGAATCATTTGTTAGCCTGAAGGGGCTAAGTGTGCAGAGGTGCGACTTTCCCCTTAAAACTGGCTCTGCAGGACCTCAGTGACAAGCTCTGAACACAGGCAGCTCCCCACATCCATCCTCTTCTCTGACTACACATCCTGCCAGCGGTGAAGAGCTTTGCTCATGGTCGAGCGCTCAGCTGGATGGCAGGCTCAGCTAATCCCTTGTGGAATTCAGTCAGCTGAAAGGAGGCTGGCTTGTATTTTTGCAACATGAGCTGTCTCAAGAGTTTGTTTTCATAGTTTCCTAGAATCAGGGGGACAAAAGCATAGGGGACTGCCAGGCTTTGACCCCCCTTGTAATGGCCCTACTTTTGAGCTGTGCTAACAGGGAGCAGGGGCTTGAATACTGGATGTGATAATGACCTAAGGGTTTCCTCTTGCAGAAGAGAATTTACAAAACAATGCTTTACCATCCTAATAATTCTACGCCTGTCCATCTACACTCTTCTGTCTTGAGCTTCCACTGATTATGCCATAAACAGGGAAGCGGGGGAAATCATCACATGGCGTGTAACATAGGCTAAGTTTGCACTGTACCGGATTTTTACTAAACCACCCACTACTGAAAAGTTGATCTGACTCATAGTGACCCTGTAGGACAGAGGGCCCCATAGAGTTTCCAGGGTTGTGCTAGAAATCTTCATGAAAGTTGCCTGCCTAGTCTTTCCTTCTCCCATTAAACAGCTAGTGGAGTCAACAAAAAAACTTGTTTACTTAGGAGCACAACACTTAATCCACTGTGCCAACAAGGAATCTTGTTTTGTAATAGCTCTTAAAATTTCATCTTCTTAACAGAGCAGCAAACAACAAATGCTGCCGAGGTTGTGGAGAAACTGGAACACTTATTCCCTGTTGGTGGGAGTGTAAAATGGTGCAACCACTATGGAAGGCAGTAGGGCACTTTCTCAAAAAGTTGGAAATAGAAATATCATTTGACTCAGCAATTCTACTACTGGGAATATACCATAAAGAAACCAGATGCCACCCAAACAGATATATTCACACAGATGTTTATGACTGCATTGTTCATAGTAGCAAAGAGATGGAAGCAACCCAAGTGCCCAACAACAAATGAATAGATAGAGAAGCTGTGGTATATTCACACAGTGGAATACTATGCACTACTGAAAAACAAGGAACTCATAAAATATTATACAAAATGAGTGACCCTAGAGGACATTATACTAAGTGAAATATCTCCATCACAAAAGGACAAATACTGCATAGTGCCACTGATATAAAGCAAGACTGACACGGGAGTTGGGGAGAAACAAAGAAAAGAGGAGATAAATAATGAACACTGCATTGAAACAGAAGAAAGAAAGAACTGTTTAAAAGGAATATATGATTAGATATTATTTGCATGACAACAGTCCAGAATAAGAAGTGCTTAGCTAAGTGGACTGGGAGGTTGGGGGAGGGAGGAAATTGTACAAAAATGAAAGAATTTTTTTAAAGAGGAAAGTGAACTGAGGGGCAGGGTAGGGACAAAAATGTGCAACAATGAATGAATGGAGATACAAGTTTTTGGTAAACTTTCAGTAAAGTATTAATAAAAAAAGAATTTAAAAAATTTCATCTACTAGTCTAGTTGACGTTGAATAGATTCTAACATGTCTTTATCAGAGTTGTTGTGTGCTCTCAAGTCAGAACAGACTCATAGCTGACCCTCTGGAGTGTTTTTAAAAGCTGCAAGTCACACCAGAGGAGATGCCCATCTTTCTCTCATGAACAGCTAGCAGATTCCAACCAGGTACCTTTAAGTTGGCATTGCCACTCCTTACCACTAACTCTCCAGAGCTTGCTTATATGCATCAAAGTAGAATTAAATGCCTTAAATTTTCACTCTTCTTTTTTAAATATATATATAAATAAAATCTTACTTTAACAAGAGAAATAGGAGTGCACACTTTAAAAATAAGAGTACCAATATGGGTAGGAAAAACCACTTATATTTAACACCATTATTTATCATACAACTGTTAGTAAAAGTGATTGCGAAGGCAGAAAAGTTCTCTCTCTCTTTATTCAAAATTATGCATCTTTTCTTAACATATGTATTTGAGAACAATCACTATTTTTCAGAAGCAGGTTATCAGGTCTTCCTTGTGAGACACCTTCAGGTGGTCTTAACTGCCAACCTCTGTATTAACAGCCAAGGGCTAATCAGAATCCATCAGCTCTGGGCCCATTCTTTTCATTATTCTTTTCTTTGTTTAAATTAAATATGTTAAAGAAACTCTTTCTTATTAAAACTCTAATCTGTTTTTTTGGTGGTTTTGTTTTGTTTTGTCTTTGTCTTTTCAGTCATGTTGAGTCAGCCAGTAATATGGTACAGCTGGCAAGGGAAACAGAGGACTTTTCCAAACAAGCACTGTCATTGGTGCGCAAGGCTCTGAGCGAAGGAGGTGGAGGCAGTAGCCTGGACAACTCTCTGGTGCAAGGGATGCTGGGAAAGTATGTTTCAACCAATTCTCACTCGGACCAGCAAAACTCTTATCTCCTAGGATATGCGGCAATCATTTGAGGACCATCCTGTTTCTTTAGTAAATAACAACAGAAAGGACAAGAGAGTGAATGTTACTTTATGAGAAAGCAGATATCTTTAAGGCCAGATGAAGAAAGAGAAATTATTTTTTAAGTAAAATTTGTCTTTTGATTGGGATTATCACAGTGCTTTGTAAGCAGCTCAGTGCTCACTCTGTGACGTTTGTTATTGTGTGCCGTCAAGTTGGAACCAATCCCTAGCTGACCTTCCAGCAGGATTTCAGAGAATATTTATTGCTTGGGAGGAGATGGCTCTTCTGCAAAGCAGCTGGTGGATTTGAACAATGTGCGTTTAGGATTGCAGTGCAGGTTCTTACCACTAGGCCACCAGCACTCCCTGTGATGTTTAAAGGGTGTGATTGAACTTATCAGATAGTGTGGGGAATGGAAAAAATATTAACCTGTATAAAATATAAGACTAATGTCTAAATTATTGTAAAAATAGAAAGATAGTTAATAAGGTCTATAAATGTCCAGAGGGGAAATGAAAAGGGAAAGGGCCGAAAAAGGAGAGAGAAATCACTAGAATAGGAGAGTTAAGAAGATGCAGGTGGAGGGAAAGAGGATGAAGGAATGGGAAAAATTCAGTGAAGACTAAAAAAGACAGTAGGTATAGATTAGTAGTAAATAATTACATAAAATAATATGAATGAGTGAATGAAACACAGTGTAAATGAAAGATTATATAAAATACAAAGTACATGAATGAAATACAAGGTAAATGAATTCTTGTATGCAAACCAATAAACCAATGAAAAAATAAAAAGTAAAGCTGGTAAGTGGGATAGAAGAATTATTAATTTTTTTTTGAATTATTAATTCTAATGAGGAGTTTATTA